TACTGAAAATGAAATACAACTATACACGTGGTAAATTTAATTGACAAAAATTTTTTTATAAATTAACATAATTATTTCTTGGCATTCGTTTTTCGTTCTTACCTTTAATCTCTTGAATAGCAACGCCGATAATGTATAAAACTTGTAACGGCAAGTAGTGTTGTATTAGGTATAAATCGCATTGTGACGGACCAGTCAACGGTCAATTTTGGCCAGCCCAATTTGACAGGTCGGGTCAATGGTGTTTTTTCATGCATTAGTATATCCGTTCGGCCATTGACAAGTTGATCAACAATTAGACTAACCCTGATTGTAATGTAACAGGCTTGTGAAAGATCGGCGTAACGGCACCACAGAAATTCAGTTATAAAAATTCAAGAAATTTAAACCCTGCCTTTGGGCTTGTGTATACGTACGTATAAATTATAAACATATACTAAATTAGGTAAAAGTCTCAAATATAGTAACTTATTTACGGTTTAGTGGAATTCTGAATAGACAGATCATAACGATAACAGATAATGTCAAATCAATACTTGGGTTAGTGTATGATTATATAATCCGTCACCGTGTAACAATTTTTTTTTTTTTAAAGTACTTCCATATAAAAAGAGGTTCTTTAAATCATAATAACGCGTATTTTTTCGTTGAAAAAATGATAACACGTTCTTCTGTCCCTAAAAAATCTATTACGGATCTTGAAAGCTTAACACCATATTCACCCTCTGATTCTTTTCCAGATGATGAAAGCATCGAACCTCCTAAAAAACGCGCCCGACGCAAAAAGGATTCTACTTTGACGGATGAGTCTATAACCACACTTGATGCATTTTTCACAAATGAAAAAGGCACAAAGTCTAAAAAAGAAAAAGATGAAGAGCAGTTTTTTAAGAATTTTCGTTTACGTCGTATAGTCAAAGAAAATCACGGACATGTCATAAATCAATTGGCATTCTTTTTCAATTTAACAAATTATGAGGCTCCTGTAGGTTTAGAATACAAAAAAATCTTTAACAAACTTGGTCACGTCGAACGTAATATACATGATTCAAGTAACATTTTGGCAAGCGTTGGTAGTATTCAGGTATATTTATATTATTTGTTGTATATTATATGTTTTATATTTTAATACGTGAGATCAATTTTTGAATTCATTGTAATTAGGCAAATATCTATGATAATGAACACTGTGGTGATCACCTGGATATTGTATCCAATTTTGCTGTCTCTTCTGAAAACATCGACTTAGCTTCAGGCGTACGTTTACTTTTTTTCATGTTTCCTTTTTTATTTGTGTTCATTAGCTGATTTAAAGAATTAACGCGTTTTATACATATGATAGGAATTATTAACTTGTTGTTGGTTACATCGAGACGAAGATGCACTGCTGGCCATTGCTGGAAACGCTCGTATCATATACATTATCAGTCTTGCTTTATCCCTTACTTTGAAAACTTTGCGGGGGCATACTGGTAAATTCCATATTATTTACCAACAATTCATCATTACTGAAAATTAATATTAATATTAATGTATACAATTATAGATGTAATTACTGATATTCAAAAGCACCCAAAAGATGATAAACACATATTGTCCGCAGCAAGAGACGCAACTGTTAGATTATGGCATGTAGACAGAGGCACGTGTTTGTACGTTTTCGAAACTAGAGCGTCGGTAATTGTAAGTTTAACTTAATAGAATTGTTACTTTTATAAACTCTGGTTTTGAACCGGTTTTATAAAATCATAAATCCCATGATCATATGAATTATCAATGGTCAGAATGTTAATCAGCTTTAATATCTAGTATTGGCATCCATCCGGTCAATCCTTTTTAACCGGAAATTACATCGGAGAAATTCGAATTTGGGAAACTCCAAATTTGATCAATCCATCCGAAGATACATTGCATCTTTTTGAAGACGACCTTATAACACGGTTTAAAAAGATCCATTCTGTTCAAATAGGTTTTTGCTTTTTTTAAAAAAGTATAAAGTGAAGTGGAATACCGCATTTAAAAGATCGTCAGTTTACAAAGAAAAAAGCTAATTAGAAAAATTTTTAGCAAAAATAAATTTAAGAGTGTTAAAATACAATTATGATAAATTTTCATACAGTATAATGAAGAAATTCTTGGAGTTTTATATCTGGATCTTGTTATCTGCTATTATTTGTTTCCGATAAACAAGAGATGTAAAAATTATAAAATTCGAATAAAATTTGGAAATAATAGGAATGGATTCAAGAGATTCGATCTGTTTGGTTAATTCTATTAGCCAACAAATAAATTATTAATTAAAAAAGACTTGAAAAAGAATTAATGTAACACATCCTAAAGGTAAGCTAGTTTGCGCTAGTAACTTTTGATGAATTTCTTGGCTCATTAACGAATTTTCTCTTTTTTCTAGGAGCGGATAAGTACATCTTCAAGACTTTCTATTTGCGGTAATGTAAGTCTTTTCTTCATTTAATTTATAGATATTTATCACGTTTCTAACACTTGACTTCTTCATTCTTTATCTATGCGTTAGGCTGTATTTAAATATTAGGATTCGAAATAGACGACAAATGGATTCCTTGATTGATTTCATTTATATGCATCATGATCACAATACTAACGTTCTTTTTTTTTCTCTGGCGGTCTCAATTACGAATTGATAACTTCGCGTTATTTTCTAAACTACAGGTTTTGTCAACCAATTCGCAACCTTCGACGTATACTTCAAGAAGGTAACTATCTATAATCAATCAAGTTATATATAGCAGATACCTTATTGATGTATAAATCAGAGTTTGTATGAATATGATATGTAAAAGCTGTACAGTCGCATATTACTATTAAGAAAAAGATACGGCTTCGATATAGTCACAACTATATAACAACAATCATAATGATTTTTACGAGTCAAAAAGGTCTTTGAAGATTGGTTCTCTTTAAACGTCTTATATTATTAATCCATATCAGATATCGGAAATTGCACATAAATAAAATAAATTGATACAACTACTCTCTTACTACCCATACTACGAGCAAAAGAGCATTTATATCTTAAAAATTTTAAAATCTTTATCGTATAACGATGTTATATGAATATACTGTAAATTTTTTTTAATTATGGCTTAATTACGACTTTAATTATGATGACTATATGTAATAATATAGTATTTTTTTTAATCCAATCATATTAGTCAATATAAATCAGATGATCTTGGTACATCATGTATCTTTTGCTATAGGAAACTTAACAAGAATTTTTTTTATCGTCTTCTATCCCTAAAACTACCATCTCTTCGATCGTCCCTTCTATCGTTATTTCTATCACGTTCTCGATCCCTATCACGACGCTCATTTCCAACGCTACGATAACTATTTCTTGTTCGATCTCTATCTCTATTTCGATCTTTTAGGATACTACCTCGCCTTTCAGGAGCTCGTGGAGGTGCACCATGAAAAACTCCTACATCCAAAAAGTCTCCGATAACAAATCTTGCATCATCAAGATTTATATCATCATCAGAAGTCGATGTCATATTATAAACTGTACCCAAATCTTTAAATGCATATTTTCCACGTAAATTGTCAATATAAACTAATTTGAATGATATTCGAGCATTTGAACGAGTAGATTCAAAGTTCACTTCTTTAATGAGATTAGCAATTTCTTTCAATGTAGCATCTTTCCTATATACACATTTATAAAACCAAAATTAACTAAAATAATTATGTTAATTTATAAAAAAATTTTTGTCAATTAAATTTACCACGTGTATAGTTGTATTTCATTTTCAGTAGGGAGATGGTCAGGCGTGTAATCTTCAGGCCTATCAAAAAATATTTCAGAATATAATCGAACTTATGTATTAAAATTTAAAGATATTTCTTTTACCTATGATGAGCGCCTTGCTGCCAAAACATTCGTAGTAAAAACGGGACCGTCTATAATATTAACGATAATACCAACACATTAATTATTTTTGAATGGAATTCTTAAACGTTTTAGTTTTGGGATCTTACATTCTCACGATCAACTACTAATTTGTTTTTGCCCGTCGTAGAGGTACTATTCTGTAAATCGGTCATTTTTCTTTTCTAGAAATTTTCTGTTGAAATTTGTTTTACACTCCTATTACTACGCAAGAACACGGCTTGTTTTAACACCAGAATCTAAATTATTAGCAAAGAAATAAAAAAAAAAAAAAGTAATGACGCGAGTTTCCTATATTCGAAGTTATATAAAGTTTGTGACACTTGAAATAGCATAATTATTGGTCAGCACGATTATTTACTGATATCATAAATATAGCATTAGTATTATCATAAGATCTGTCAGACTTTTTTATTCCATTAATAAAAAATAAAATGTCTACCAACAGCAGGTTCCAATTATTTCATGAAACCTAATTCTTTTGTTTAATATATATTTAATATTTGTTTTATTTATGCTCTTTATAGATTCTCCGGAACAATTTATCGCTCGCTGCTTAGACGCAATTCTGTATTCTTGGCTGGAATTTTTACTACAGCCTTTGTGATTGAAATAGCTTTTGATACTGCTGCTGATAAAGCTTGGGACTCTATTAATAGAGGAGTAAGTAAGGCTTCATTCAGTTTTTTTTATAATCAAATGGTTTTTTTTCTTATATATATACACTTGTTAATAGAAACAATGGAAAGACATCGAAAGTAAATACACTCAAAATTAAAATGCCACTAGATTAACGGAGTTTAATAATCCCAAGTTTACAATTGTACCAATGTCTAGAAAGTGATTTATTTAAACCGGCAAAGAACGCTTTAATAATATTAATAACAGAATTTTTTGCTAATCACTTTTTAAAGAGCTAAAATAATGACAATTTTTTATTCATCCTGTTTTGTCTGTTTCCATTTCGCCCATTCTACCAATTTTTCATCACTAATATAATCATACCTCCAAATATATCCTTCTTCACCAGCCGCAAGTACTTGCCTATATTAAAAAGATTTATCAATTTGGAGAAATCAGATGATAAAAAGTACATCTTTAAATATATGGCACTTTACTTTGTATCCCTTGAAAATATGCAACATCTTACAGCTTTGGTTGATCGTCGATGGCGAAGTTCAGTTACCAATTTACCGCTTAAGACATTATATATATGAACGGTACCATTACTCGTACCCACGCAAAAGTACTTTTCATCCAAGCTAATCATATGAAATAAGTCGAATGATTAGAAGGTAATATTGAACATTACTCCGTATATTGACATTACCTAACATCAAATCTCGATCTATTGTTTGAACTGTTTTTGATAACGAAAGATTTAATAAGTTCAAATGTTTCGAAATTCCAATACTCGATCTTGCCATTTATTGATTTTGACAGCACATTCCCATTAACAAATCGAATACAATCTAAATATATATATATAATATAAATTTAAAAAATTACGATTATAATTATAACAGTAAATTTTCAAAAAGCAAAAACCTATTTGAACAGAATGGATCTTTTTAAACCGTGTTATAAGGTCGTCTTCAAAAAGATGCAATGT